TCTGATCACTGATGTTCCTATTTCTCTTTCCTCCTCCCTTCCTCTCTGAAATTAACAAAAACATAATTTTTCAAGACCCAAGGTTAAGCAAAGAGTGCTTTAAGTGGCATCAAAAGCATGATTCATAAAAGTAACAATTCAAATACAGCATCACAGCAAAATTAAAACTTTTGTTCTGCAAGAGACTGTTTAAATAATGAAGATAAGCTATAGAATGGGAAGAAATATTTGCAACCACATATCTGACAAAAGACTAGTATATAAATTTTATTTTTTTAATCTGCCAAATTTAATAATAAAAAATACAGTTAAAAATGGGTAAAGAACACATTTCACCGAAAAAGAGATGAAGATGGTAAATAAGTACATGAGAATCATCAGCTAGCCATTAAGAAATATCACCAGACAGCCTTTAAGGAATGGAAATTAAAATCCCAATGAGATCTCACTATCAGCAAGACTAAAATAAAAAATAAAATAAAAAGTGACAGCACCAAAAGCTGGCGAAGATGTGGAGAAGCTGGATCCCCCAGCACTGCTGGTGGGAATATAAAATGGTGCAGCACTTTGTAGCGGTCTCATAAAAGCAAGCATGGAACCATCGTGTGACCCAGCAATTTCACTCTTGGGATTTTATCCCAGAGAAATAAAAATTTATATTCATACAACAATATGAACACGAGTGTTCACAGCAGCTTTATCCATAACAATAATAAGAAAAGCCAAAGTACTGGGAGTCATTGAAAGAAGAGGCGATGCTATATTTCAAGATTTTGAAAAGGTAGAGACAGCTACCTCCGAAGAGGACATATCTCAGAGGAGGGAAAACGTGTAAAAAAGAATGAGTCACTGGGAAAGATAAGCTGGCAGAATTCTTGAGAAATGACGCTAGGAAGCTGGCTCACTGGGAGGAATCGAATCCGACTTTTGCAGAAATAAGAACAGCATGTGAAGCTGGGAATACAGGAGAGTGCCCTGGCCACTAAGGAAGGACAGAACAACAAAACCATGAGCCTGAAAGGTCAGGCAGAACGACAAAGGTCATCATGGCCACTCCCCCCGCAGTCAGAGGGACTTCCCTTTTACAAAGCCATTCGCTTGATCCCATCCGTGTACAAGTCCACCTCTGATTTCGGTGGAGCAGGAAGATCCTCCTATTTGCTCACTGCTGAAATAACCAGGGCCAAGCAGACTTCAGTAAACAAGGGGGCCCCAGAAGCAGCACTCTAAACCGGGTTCCTTAGAGTGAGATGTGCTTGTTCCCTGGAATATGTGCCTTAATAAAACCGGTGGCTCCACATGCAATTGCTTCTTGAAGTGCTGCCTTACGGTGGCTCTGCTATCCTAACGGCAGGACTCCCTGAGCCTCCATAACAGTCCTCCCCCCGTCCCCCAGTGGGCTTGGCATCTCAGCAATAAGAAGGAAAAGCAGCCCTTACTAAACTGTGGCCACAGAATCCTGGTCCTCCCAGAACTCCCCCTGCTGCATCCTCCAGCGCACAATTAGGGACACGCTTATATTAGAGAAATTGTTGGGTGCGTGCTCTAGTCCACGGTGAACTGGATCTCACAGTTACGTGAAGAAGCTATGATCTGACCTGCCCTGGAAGTCACGTTACATAGAAGCTAAGATGCTTGAAGGAGCAAAGGCGGGGTGAGAAAGCGGGGGTCCCAAACCCGGGCCCAGCAAACGCCCCACACCACGTGCCTCGGTCTTCCTTCCACTCAGAGCCCTTCCCACTGTCCCTCAGCACAAAAAGTAAACTGCGCAGAGGAACGCTCACCCCTTTGGGTGAGTGTGCAGGACTTCGATTTCCTGAGTGAGAACAGTGGACTTGTGTCTAACAAGAGCAACTATATTTAACGCCACTGGCTCCTTCCCACGGTTGCAATTACACTTCATCAGACTCACAGCCCCTCTGACAGCTGAGTGCTGGCGGGCGCTTCGGGAAGAGGTAAAGAAATGAAAAATGAACTGCTCTGTATGTGTATTATTCATATATTTACTTCCCCATTTTTGCACGAGAGCACCATTAGCTACATGTACAGTGAGGAAGGCACCAACTTTTAAAAGTCTACGGCCAATGTCTTATTTTAAAACTTCTAAAAAGGATCCTATGCATAACTGGCATTTTTTTTTCCCTTAGTAATATATTTAAAAAGAAAACGAACACAGCACCATATTCCACTGATTTCCTAGGGCCGTGGTCGGCAAAATGAGGCTCGAGAGTCACATGTGGGTCTTCCACAAAATACCACAGCCTGGGTGAGTATATCTTGAAGAAGTGGTATTAGAAGAAGTTTGAATTTAAAAAACTTGGCTCTCAAAAGAAATTTCAATCATTATACTGTTGATATTTGGCTCTGTTGACTAATGAGTTTGCCGACCACTGTCCTAGAGGAAAGAGATGTCGGTCGCAGTCCCACCGCCTCTGCACTGACCAAACAGCAGAGTGTATGGGCCCTCATTGCTCACGGCAATTGCTTCATTTACAGCCAGATGAACTCAGAAATCTGGTTACGGTGTGCTATGCATAACCCCAGCCTGTTATTATCAAGATTCATAAATTACACAGCATTTAGGTTTTAAAAAATGCATCTCTCAGAATCACTTCAGCGCTTGTATGCCCCTGAGAGCTGAATACTGAATGTATCAGATCTGAAAGAACAGGAAGGATGGAGCGGCTGCAGGAACTCATCAAGGGCTTGATGTAGATAATTCTTCCTGCTAAAGCTTTGAACTTTGGTTAATGGTTATTAGAGATGAAAAGGAACTGGCTTGCCACATTCCTCGCAGATTTACATATTAAAGCCCAAAGCCAGCAGGTAGAAGTCTGAAATAGGGCAAGCTTGTCCTCAATCTCCCCTTGCTTGTCCCACATTCAAAGGGAAACTTCCAGTCCGCTTTGGTCTTCCCTTTGAGGCTGTCCCAGAAAACTTCCCAGTCCTGGCTTCCCCACCCCTGTCATCACTCATCCCTTTTCCTCCAAATCAAAACTCCTGTTCCTGGCTTCACATGTCTTAAGTATAGATTTTTTATTTTTTCTGGAAAGTGAAATAAAAGTTGAACACAAAGGCATCTATTGTATTCCCTGAGTTGACAATGCTCATTGCTTCCTAACCCCACCCCCAAAACCTCTACCCTTGTGGACCTTACTTTAGGGTGGTCCCGTGGCAAAGACAATAAGAAACAACCAAGAAAATGCATATGTAGTGATAAGTGCCCAAGAGAAAAATAAAGGGAGATGGGGGCAGGAGTCCAAGGACCCCCATTTAAATAATGAAGTCAAGAAATGGCTTCACTTTGAGACAATGTAAGCAATGACCTGAGCAAAGTAAGGCAATGAGCTGCTGTGGATATTTGTGGGGACAGTATTCCAAGGAAGGGGAAAAGTAAGTTCAAAGGCAGGACTGTGCTTGGTCTACCCCAGGGAAAGCAAGGTGCCCAGTGTGCCTGGAGCTGAGGCAAGTGGGATTGGGGACGCTGCACCGGTGAGGTGAAACCGGCCACAAGGAGTCAGATTGTGAGTGTGAGTCCACTTGAAGGACTCGGTGAGGGTTTGGAGCTAGGTATTATAATGTGATTGAGGTATGTTTCTAGGCCTAGAATTAGGCAGCCCAGGAGCTGGGACCACGGCAATAGTAACAGAGTGTGAGAAGTGTTTGGAGTCACTGTGCATATGACCACAGAGCCAACACCACATGCTGGGGGGTTGTGTTGGGAAGTTTCTCTGCAGTATTCCTTGATAGTCCTCTTTCTTCTCTTGGGCTGCAAGCAAAGCAGAGTCCATTTATCATTCTACATCCAGAAAGGCTGGTAGAGGGGCTGTGAAGACTCAGGTGTTTCAGGATGTATGCAGGACCCAACAAAAACAAAGAAGGACTGACGGACATCAGCCACCAGACAGAACAAGAATCTGCTGGTATCTTAGTCTGTTCAGGCTTCTATGACACATTACCATAGCAATTTATTGTATAAACCAAGGTGTCAACATGGGCCCTTAATCCTATGTTAAGACGTTGCCACTTGAGGAGAATTTGCATGAAAAGAAAGATTACTCATTTTCTCTTACTTAGCAAGATTTCCATGCTGATGGATCTACTGGTTTCAGAAAACATCTTACATGGCAAGCAGCCCCTGGTAATTTCTCACCAAATGAGGATCAGAGTCTTCAATATGGAAAACCAACACAATCGAAATGTCTCATCATAAACATAAGCATGTTCCTACACAGTCAAAAGAGTAGTCTTTCCCCAGCATGGGAATAGCCGGAGCCTTGGGGAAAATAAGTGATTTCACTCGCTTTTACACATTTTCACGGAAAGGGAAAACACGAAGGCTGCCGATAACGAGGACTGTGAAAACCATCACCACGTGGAGGGAAGGAGGGGCCTGATTTGTGAACCCAGTAAGTAAGTATACCTTGCCTTACCTTCATTTTCTACCTCTGAATGAAGCATTTCAACACACACACACACATTTATTATTTTTAGTAAGGAAGTCTCACTACTACTGCTAGGAAAACTGGACATCTGAATTAATTTTAATCATCAAACTTAAAGAAATAAATGAATGGGCGAAACTTTCTCCTCTTCTACCTATCACCTATTTTCCAGCCCTCCCAGCCCCCCAAGCCCTACCCTATGGCTGTCCCTTCTCCTAACACTCCAAGCTGGCATGAGGGTCTATTGTGCATCAGGCACTGGGCTACGTTCCATGAGGTCCAATCCTGACTCTCAAGGCTCTGTTGTTGGAAGCAGGGTCTACTACACAAATTGAAAATTTACAAAACAATATGGTAAGTTCTTATACTAGGGATTGGAAAACCACAATTACTTTAAATAATTAGCAAGTGGATATTACTTTAGAGATACTTTGTGCTTGGAAAAATTATTACTTATACCTTGGTCAAATAATCAGGAGAAGTTTTCAGAGTCAATGAGGTTGAGTTGCCTACTTGTGAACAGATGAACTGGAAAGCCAGGGCAATCGGTCTTACCTTATGGTAACACCTAAAATATGCAGCGCGTTCATCAGAAAATTTCTCCAGTCGCTTGGGGCCTTTGCTGGAGGCCTTCTTGAACACTAACCAGCATCGCTGATAAATCTGGAAGAAAATACAGAGGATGCGTTCAATATCACCACAGACTCAGGTATGTTGTAATGACATTTGCATTTAAAGGTTTCCTTGTTGATATTTTCACCTGTGAAATGACCAGAATCCATAAAAGCAATGTTACACTGGAAAATAAAATTTAAAAAAAACAACACAAAACTGTTTCCACAATGGGTGCATTATGTCATTCTGACAATTACTGGAATCAAAAGAAAATAAGTATTCAAAGGCAAATTTCTTCATATTTTGATAACAGTATCAGTAGAAATATTTAGCAAAAAGCCCCAGAGATAAAAATCTCAAACCACTTCAAATAATAGAAGCATTCAGGGTACATGCTCTAATTTCAAATGCAATTAAATATGGGAATCATGGGTCTGATACAGTCTAAAAACCTCATTGGTAGTTGAAAAAGAGAGAGCCTATTAAATATATTTTATAAAGTATCATAAAACAATATATTAATTAAAATAAATTATTTTGGCTTTCACCTTGCACAGTCATTGGTCTATCAATGGCTATAATGGAGACAAAAGTGGAAAATTAACTCAATCGAGAAAGGTAGTCTTTCATACAAATGATATTAGAATAATTGACAACCCATAGATGAAAACAAATACATTAATCTAAAACATCTATCTTATACAAAAACAAAATTAACTCAAAGTGGACTTAAATATAAAACAAAACTATAAAACTTTTTGGGTAGAAAAAAAATGTTTTGAATTAAGGTCTGGACAAAGAGTTCTTGGACTTCATATCAAAAACACCATTCATAAAAGACAAACTTGCCCAGTGGAACCTGATCAAAACTGAAGACTTGTGCTCTGTGGAAAGCCTTGTCAAGCAGCTAAAAAGATAAGCTACAGCCCTGGCTGGTTTGGCTCAGTGGATGGAGTGTCGGCCTGCAAACTGAAGGGTCCCAGGTTATATTCTGATCAAGGGCATGTACCTTGGTTGCCGGCACATACCCAGTGGGGAGTGTCCAGGAGGCAGCTGATCAATGTTTCTCTCTTATCAATGTTTCTAATTCTCTTTCCCTCCATTTCCTCTCTGTAAAATATTAAATATATATATATATATATATATATATATATATATATATATATATAAAAGATAAGCTACAGACTGGGAGAAAGTATCTGCAAACCACATATCTGACCGAGGACTATAACCTACAGTATAGAAGGAACCCAGTCGACATAGATCAGACCTACGAACCAGGAAGTCAGGGTTTGATTCCCAGTCAGAGCACATGCCCCGGTTACGGGGTCAATCCCCAGTAAGGGTCGTGCAGGAAGCAGAGAATCAATGATTCTCTCTCATCATTGATGTTCTATCTTCTCTGAAATATATATATATATATATATAATATTTTTAAGAAAAGAAACACACCAATTACAAAATGGACCAAAAAGGCATGAACAGACATTTCACCAAAGAGGAGACACAGCTGACTGAGTAGCTTATAAAAAAAAAAAAAAAAAAAAAAAAATTCACATCATTAGCCACCAGGGAAATGTTAACTAAAACTACAATGACATAGCATTATTCCCAAATCAGACTGGCTAAAATAAACAACAACAATAATAATAATAGCACCACCACCTAATGCTGACAGGAGTGCAGAGAAATTGGATCACTCACACATGCAAACTGGGACAGCCACTCTGAAACACAGCTTGGCTGTTTCTTTAAAAAAAAAACTAACTAGCCAAAACCGGTTTAGCTCAATGGATAGAGCGTCGGCTTGGGGACTGACGGGACCCAGATTCAATTCCGGTCAAGGGCATGTACCTTGGTTGCGGGCATATCCCCAGTAGGGGGTGTGCAAGAGGCAACTGATCGATGACTCTCTCTCATCGATGTTTCTAACTCTCTATCTCTCTTCCTTCCTCTCTGTACAAAATCAATAAAATATATTTAAAAATAAATAAATAAATAAATAATAAAAATAAAAAAAACTAACTAAGCAACATACGACCAGCAGTAGCACTTTCAGGAACCAATCCCAGAGAAACGCAAATTCCCCACAAATCTGAACAGGAATGTTCTTAGATGCTTTATTTCTATCCATGCATTATTTATACCCATATCATGCATTATTATCTATATATACTATATAAAAAGTCAGCAACCAGAACGTCATAATGACCAGAACATTGAACAACTGGTCGCTATGATGTCCACTGCAGCTAGCGAACCACCCGATTGGGGTGGGGCCCGCAGGTCAACCTCCTGCAGCCAACCCCCAACCCCGGCAGGCCCCACCCACAATGGGCCCCCACTACCCCAGCCAGCTCTGTCCCTAAATGGCCTCCCCACATCATTCGGGGATGGGGCTGGCTGGCCAATCTTCCACGTCTCCTCCCGTGGCAGCTGACCCTTAATCAGTCTCCTTACCCCTTTCAGAGGGTAAGGCCAGCGAGCCCACCACCCACAGCATCTCCCCACAGCTGGCCACGCCCCCAATTGGCCCCTCAACCCAATTGGGAGTAGGGCTCACAGGCCAATCACCCTTAGCCCCTCCCCCCAGTGGCCAGGTCCTGATCAAGCCCCAAGGGGGTGAGCCAGTTGGCCAACCTACCACCGTCTCCTCCTCCTAACAGGCCCAGCCCCAATCTGCCCCAAATGGGATCAGGCTGGCCTGACCCCACCCATGCATAAATTCATGGACTGGGCCTCTAGTCTATATATATATATATATATAAAACCCTATTAATGCTAACAGACCAAACTGGGGATCAACTGAACAGGTTGCTATGATGTGTTTTGACCACCAGGGGGCAAGCGGGGAAATATGGTAGGCATTGGCAGCAGCAGCAGAGCATGGAACATAGTGGGCATTGGCTGAGGCAGGATGGTGCAACAAGTAAGCAGGGACACCAGACCTAGGCAGGGCACCAGTCGCTATCATTAGGGCAAGCCTCTGGTGGTTACTGAAAATCCTTTGCTCCTGAATGCCATGGTCCCACAAGGCACTCACATCCGTTACCAGCACCAGCCCTGCTCACACTCGCTGCTGTCACCTTGCTCCAGCCCAGATTGCTTGGCACCTTCAGCAGGTGCGAGCAGTGGCTGTAGCCCCAATCACCCCTGAGGGCTTCTCTACCTCCCTCTGCTCCTGAGGGGCAATCAGGGCAGTAGCTACTGCAGCTTGCACCTGCTGATGGCACTAGCCCCAATCACTACACGACATCAGTGGGTGTGAGCGGAGCCAGCACCATCAGCAGATCGGGGACTAAGAGCTGTGGCAGGCTGGGGCATGGAGGATGAGACAAGACCTGCCCCTGTGCCCACTGCAGCTTTGTGGTCCACAGTTCCTTTCAAGGTGCATGAATTGATGCACTGGGGCCCTAATTTAGCTATAAAAACAAATGAATTATTAATACTGTAGCAATTCCAATGAGTCTTCATAGAACTATGCTGAGGAGTGGGAGGGGGGGGAGAAAGGCTGCTTACTGTATGTATATGTGCATTTATAAAATTTTTAAAATGACAAAAGTGTAGAAAACAGAATAGTGGTTATTAGGAATTATGGATTGGGGGGCAGAAGAATATGTCTATAAAAGAATAACATGAGGAATCCTTGAGGTGAGGGGATTGTCCTGTATCCTGACTGTTTTATTTTTCTTATTTTTAAAAAATATTGTTATTGACTTTAGAGAGGAAGGGAGAAAGAGAAACATCATTGATGAGAGAGAATCATTGATTGGCTGCCAATGGGGATCAAGCCCACAACCTGGGCATATGTTCTGATGGGGAACTGGACCATGACCTCCTGGTTCATAGGTCAATGCTCAACCACTGAGCCACTACAGTTGGACTACCTTGACTGGTTTAATGCCAATATCCTGGTTATAATATGCACTGTGATGTTAAAGTTGCTACCACTAGGGAAACAGATAAAGGTTTAGGATTTTTGGGTAATATTTATTACAACTGAATGTGAATCTACAGTTACCTCAAAATAAAACACTCAAAAACAAATTAGGTGAAAAAATGTAGAGAAATGTCACCAGGATCTTAAAATTAAAGCCACAGCTAATGACAGTCATCTATACTCTTCACCAGCCCTCCTTGTCCTGCTGTCAGACTAGTCTAATTAGCCACTAGACCAAGTAACTTCAAGAAGTCAAGTTACAAGATCCATGGGTAAGAGTTCAATCGCCCCTTTTAGGATGAAGACTCAACCACACAAAGGAACTTTCTTGGTACCTTGATTGGCAAAAAGAAGTCTTACCAACATCTCGCTTATGTCTGAATAACAGGCTCCCTTAAAATCTGACAACCACAGGACTGCAATTACAGTGGGAATGACTGTCACTCTGATTGTTCAAATAAAAGGTGTGGAAATGGGTTTTTCACTGTCATTCTATTATTGGCAACTACTTTCTTTTTTACACGCCCCAGAAAATGTGTTAGAAATCGAGCAAGCTAAAGGTGTGCGAAAAATATGCCATTACTGAAAAAAAAAATATTGTCACTGAGTTAGGTAGTATAAATTTGTTAATTATGCTTCAATTTTTAGACCCAATCTTGAATAGCATTTCTAACCTTTCTGGTTGTTGTTCATTTTCTCTACAATTAAACCAGTATCTGCCTGGCTTATGTCCAAAGGCTGTTGAGTGCAAGCTGACAATTGCTCAATTTCAGTAAGTCTAATGATTTCCATCCACCCATCTGTATTAAGTTTAGGGGAATTTTGTTTTTCTTTTTGGTAACTGCAATGATATAATACAATAACTGCAAACATACTATCATACACATTCACAAGCAACATTGCTTGTAACCATTGGCCAGGAAGTCAACATGGAGTAGCTGAAAACATTAGTTCATCAGGAGATAAAGCAAACCAAAATCTAGGCTAATGGAAGGCAGTTCAAAACATACAAGCACATGGTACAAAACCCGACAGTGCAAAGTTCAGAGGGACGACTACTGTCAATGCATCCCTTTATTCTGTCCTACGTCACACATCAGCGACTCTC